ATATATTACATGGTTGGAGACATACATTATGGAAGAATAATATCTGCATTACCTCATGTATTTACTTGTGGTGAGAATAGAGATTCACATATTTACTTGTAGTGAGAATAGAGACATGAAATCTAGCACTGGGTCTTGTCAACTGTTCGTGGAGAGTAGAGTAAGACATAGCAAACACAGTAATGGAGCACAGCAAGAAATGAATGGCAGCTGCTGCTATGAACACTGCATCTATGGCTTCAGGAAAATCCTCATGGGAGTCTGACAAGATATTCTGAACTCTTGCTCAGGGATGAAAAACAAGACAATCTGAAACACAGTTAGGGAATGAAATTGACAAACGTGAGTGATAGCCTGGGGACAGTGTGTGAGACAAGAAGGTGTCCATGAGGAACTCCATCCAGGTCTAGCATCGGTGACTGAAAGCCTGTGGCTGGTGGCTCCCCTGACAGAGAGAATACACAGGTAGAGTGAGTCTGGGAATGTGAGGTCCTGCTGAGGAGCAGGTTCCTGTGTGCATCGAGGAGTGGAGATCTAAGAAGTGAGCAAGTCTAGAGCGTGGGCACCAGTGTGGTCGGGAACTAAGAGGGTGTCAGGCTCATCTCCTAGCATGGGAAGGGAAGACCTAGAGAATCAGGGCAGGGTCTGAGGACACTGACTATGGACACAGAGATAGTGGCGCCCATGGAAATAAGAGCGTGAACTGGAGCGCAGCTCAGAGGGGGAAGCACTGGCCATCGAGGGTCAAAATTGGACCTCACCTTATACCTACAGGTGAGGTAGGTACAGCATTACAGAGACCATTACAGAAAGCCACAACCAATCAAAAGAAAGAGAGGAACTGACTGTGGGGTGTTCAGCCCCAGTTAATGTATCTATAGCTCAACCCTTACCCTAAGGCCAGGGAACATTGAGGAAGAGGGGGTAGAGAGACTGTAAAAGCCAGGGGAACCAGAAACTCTGCGGCAAGACTGTGTCTTCTAGATGAGACAGGGAAGCTGTATCCACGGAATATCAACAATATGGCTCTTTAAACAAGATCTGAACAAGGGTAGGGACATTCTAGGGGGCCCTATGTCCAGATACATACATACATACACACATACATACATACACATATGTATGCATATATATATACGTATATATATGTATGTATTCATACATGCACACATATAAATTAAAAAATGAGAGGCTATGAATTTGAGAGGGAGCTGGGAGGAGGGGGGCATGGGAAGAGATGGAGGGAAGAGGAGGCAATGATATAGTTATATTTTAATTTTTTTAAATGCCATATATATATATGTTTGTTTGTTTTGTTTTTCGAGACAGGGTTTCTCTGTGTAGCCCTGGCTGTCCTGGAACTCACTCTGTAGACCAGGCTGGCCTCGAACTCAGAAATCCGCCTGTCTCTAAATGTTATATATTTTTTGAGACAGTGTCTATGTAGCTTTGGCTGTCTTAGAATTCACTGTATAGGCCAGGTTGGCCTTGAACTCACAAGGATCAGCCTGCCTGTACTTCCAGAGTGCTTGGATTTAAGGTGCTGGCTAATAAATTTTTAAAATATATTTAAAAATGATTAGAGTTCAGATCCCAAGAACTGATGAAGTTGAATGTATGCAAGGGCAAGGTGTGACAGTGAGTGTTGTCAACTTGACAAGACCTAGAAAGGGACCTCTGGGCATGCCTATAAGGGACTGCCTACCAACCCACTATAGGAGGTATAAAAAGAAAGTCAGCAGAGCACAGGATCCACTGATAGAGAGGGAATCTCTCTTTCTCCCTTCCTCCCCCTCAATTGTAGATGCCATGTGCCCAGCTGCTTCAGGCTTCTCTGCCTTGATTTCCATGTAACTGTGACCCAAAATAAACCCGTTCTTCTTAGATTGCTTTGTCAGTGTACTTATCACAGTATCAGCAAAGGAAACTACAGACAGTCTGTAATCTCAGGTCCTCTATAGAGAGATGAGGAGGAGAGAAAAGAATACCTGAAAGCCTAAGGGTCAGCTAGCTTGGTGGCAAACAAGAGACTCTGTCTCCAACAAGTCACAAGACCAGGAGCCATACTGGAGCTTGTCCTTTGATCTCCAGATGCACACCAGAGTATGTGTGTGCACTTAAACACACATGGCATGAACAACAGTGAGGAAGTAAAAAGAATCTGCCACATATCTACACGAACGGTCAGGGAGGGATTATCCAGGAGGGGGAGGAAACTGTGGACTCAAAGGTTGGATTCAACTTTGTTTTGTTTTTTAAACAAGGTCTCATCATGTAACCCTGTCTGGCCTGGAGCTCACAGGATCCTCTTATCTCTGCCTTTCAAGAGCTGGGAATCATTTTTTCTTTTTTTGATTATTTTGTGAACTGTGAAGAAAATGCAGATGATGACAAAAAGCAGTAATAATGCTTGGAAGTCTCATTGACAGAACAAAGGTCCTTGAGAAAAAAGAATGGCCTTGAAAGTATCACCCATGTATCAGGTGCCACTAGAGGCCCTAGGACGACAGAGGAGTCAAACAGAAGCTGCTCCCAAGGAGCTCTCAGCCCGAAAGGGAAGCAGTATAAATACACAAGACAGTCACACAGACACTGGCCCTCCCTCAGGGCACATTATGTCACAGAATGGAAGCCTCAGCTGACATGGCTTTTCTGAACCACATCTGTAGCTGCTCACTCTCCAATCCCACTGTCTCCGGTAGCAGCTGAGACCCAGCCCCACCAGGCAGTTGATGAAGCTTCTTTGTTTGTTTGTTTGTCTACTTTGTATGAATGAACAAACATATCCATTGGTGTAAGAGTGTATTTTACAATAAACAAAGTGATTTGGGCCACTAAAACAGTTAAACATTAATGAAAATATTATGCATACTTAAACATACAGTGTCAAGACTTGTACTCCACCCCTCAATTTAATATGCTGAATCTTCAACACATTAGTATTAAGTGTGGGGTCTCTGGGAAGTGATTAGGTCATAAAGACTCTGATGAAGGTGACCATGATCCTTGAAAACCTTGTTTCTGCAGTGTGGCCAATCATACCTATAATCACAGGCCTTGGAGGTGAAGTCAGGAGGATCAAGAGCAGCTACAACAAAAGCTCAAGGAGCTGATCTGCCCCTTTCATCATATCACAGTGGAAAGCATATACTGCCTGAGGAACAGAGCTTCACCAGACATCTGACTTTGAAATTCCAAACCTCCAAAATTAGAAGGAACAAATATCCATAAGTCACTCAGTTTACAGGGAGATGAGCTTTGATTGATGATGAGGAATACGGCCACTAAGTCTGTCATAACTGAAGATGTCACCAGTGGAAAATGAATTTCTGCCATCTACTACTTTGTATCTTAATACTGGCTGCCCGGTGTGGTCATGTGGCTGACTGGGAGCTATGCTTTCGACCACTGCTTGGCGCTGAGAGAGAATATAATACTAGCCCAGAAAAGAAGAAGGACAGTCTTCAGCCAAGTGCACACTTCTTCCATATTATCTCACAGATTAAAAGTGAAGTTATCAAAGGTAGGGGACCATCGGACTTCGGGAAGGCCAGCTCCCAGGGATGAAAATAAGAGAGTAGCACACACAGTCCGACCATGTAGGACAGGCCTGCAGTGGTCCAGAGCTCTTTGGCCAAATGTATTTCCCATCTGCTAGTTTATGTTTAGAATTAATTACATTTTTATTGTTAATTTTTGTGATGCTAAAAATTAAACTTCAGGTCTTGTGCATGTGCACGTGATCTACCACTGAGCAAATCATCAGCTTACACGCTTAAAATGTAATCATTTAAGAAGGGCTAAAATGCAGTATCTTAAAACTGTAGATAAAAGATGTGGGTGTAAGATCACATAAGATAAGTTAGGCAGACTCTAAAGCCAGATCTGGTTATAAATGAAGTATAGTATTTTCTATTAATAAGTAATAATTATTAAAAATAATAGTAATAATTAATTATCAATACATTTGTAAACTGGGAAAGGAGATTGAGTAACAAATAGCCCAAGGATCTCTCAAATTTATCTTCCAAAGTTTCTAAGGCAGTGTTCTAAAGCCTTTCAGGGGACCAAAAAGTCCTGTACCAATCTAATGAATACAATGAGCCCCTCAAATAAACAGGTGTTTACACTAAGAAGTTCTGCAGTTGCAGAGGTGCAGCCCTGGAGTGAAGACATCTTGCCTTCCTTAATGTCTGTGGGATCACAGAGACCTCTGCAGACCCACATGGCAGTCACCTGTGTCTCCACTTTGCATGGCCTTGTCAAGACTGTTCATCCTTGACTATCAGCACTAAGCCCAGTACCCTGAATATAGTGTGCACCCACTTTAGCTATGAGTTAAACTGAGGGGTGACACTGGTTTAGTCACAGTTCTAAAGTTTTCAGACTTTTGGTATGTTTCAATGAACATCATCTTCATTTTGTCCCTTTGAGAGACAAACCTAGAGTGCTGTGGGCTTGTTTTATAGGGCCCGTCTACTTTCTAAAATCGACCTTTGTCTAATTACAGGTGTCTATCTACCCCATACTAAAAGCTATGCCCCAGAGTGCCAGAGCAGAATGTGATGACTCTCCCATTCAAAAGAAGCTAGCTAACATCCACACACACCATCTGCTTTGAACACAATCTTGTAACTAAGTGTTAAAACCTTTTGCTTTACGATAAACACAGAGAACATGCAAGTAAGGATCACAGGGAAGTTCTCCAACACAGCACAGCTCCAAACCCAAGCCACACTTTGAAACATGGGAAAGCTTCCCTGTTGTGCTGAGAAAGGGAGGCACCTCCAATCTGACAGAAAAAAAAAGACACAACAGATAATGGTGTGTGGTGATGGCATCTAATATTTGCTATTTCAGAAAGCAAAACCACTTTAACAAGCAATTATATATATAATAGTGAAATGGTCTGAGTTTTGAGAATCCAATCAAGCTGATCATCTATGACTTCAAAAGGCACAATTCAATGTATTCAGGAGGTGTGGGGGGGTTCTACTTACCTATAGCACAATGTAAAATCTAGAGAGGAAAAAAAAGGGAAAAGAAAATTAGTGAGGCCAATATTACAGTTTTATTTCACATGAATTGCTCTTTCAGTTGAGATTAGAGCAGCGCCTAGATGCAATACTGAGCCTAAAAAACAAACATTTCCACTTTTAAACCTTGCTTCAGGCTATTCAACAAAAGAAAAGCTGTTACTAGTTTTGTTTGCTCATTTCTGTTTGTGTTTCTCTGGGAGAGATTCTAAGGATTTAATCCTTGCACAGCGGTTTGTTAGATGTCAATGACCTCGTTTATAACTCATGAGCTCACAAGTACAGCCAGGCAGCTCTGTAATCTGCAAACCACAACTGTCAGAAGCTACTCAAAGTGGCCTCAGTAGTGCCTTCCTTTGTTGGCTACTGTTGCCCAGCAGGCCCGTCAATACAGATATTTACTATTCAAAGTCCCATCCTCAGTCCTTATCTTTCCTGGATCAATAGTAATGCTGTAGAGTTGGCCTCTGATCTAATTTCTAAACACGTTCCCTAGCTCCAGGTCCACTTTCCAAACCATCTTGGACATCTCCATGACTATATCAGCATCTCAAAATGGCTACCTCAATGGGAAGCACATCACTTCCTTCCTCCTTATATGTCTGGGGTCACTGGGCTCCCAGCCTGAAAAGCTGACTTCCCCTTTCCCCTAAGTTTCAACTGGCTTCCAATTCCTGCAGATGCATCTTAGATCACCTGGACTGCATGGCCTTCCAATTGGCCAGATGCAGCCTTCCAAATCTCCACTGCTTTAACACTGGTGCTGAGGATTTGAAGCCACCTATAAGATAACAGCTGTTGGAGTTCCTGTCATCATTTCTAAAACACATCTTTCTTTAGTGGTTACTTATTATTGATTCTGCTAGTCACTCTGACAGGTAGACAGGACAGTTAGGGACACAGAAAGCTGCATGGCTTGCCCACAGCAATCAGCAATGGCCTGGGCAAGGACCCAAGTCTTGATTCTGTCTTCTCTGCCTTTTCTACCACTATTTCACTGTAAGCAAGTTATGAGGCCCAGAGACCAGAACATCACAAGACAGACGTTAGCTAAAATGTCCCTGATTAGTACTGTACTGAAAGACTACTATTTCTCTAAATGTCTTCCCATCCCATTTTAGGAAGGGGGAGCAGGGTATAGGGAAAGAGCTTGGATAAAAAAACTAAGCTGTACAAATTTGCTGCTATGTGAGAAGGGAAAAGAAGAATTTCCATCCCTTATATTATCCCTTTCAAAGGACACCCCTGAACATCTCAAATATGTGACTACCTCCTGCTGCAAACAGATTGGAAAGACTAGAGGCTATATCTAAATTAAAGTGAGGGATAAAATGAAGGCCATGGATGAAGAACAACCTTTGACATGAGAGAAAGCAGCAGCATGTCTTCCCTTCATGTATGTGACAAGACATCCTGGCTGCTCATTGAAGACAGGACACTACAGGACAAAACGACAGGGGCTTCCCTGTTTTCTAGGTCTTGTCCTCCCAGGCTGAGCCTCCCCTCTTTCATCACACGATTGTGCAATGCCCCCTTTCACCTTCCTGATGAAACTCATGGCTGATGTGACCTACTTACACAATATTTCAAAAAGTATCATCAATGATACGGAAAGAAGAAATAAAAAGAAAGTAATTTCATTAAAATATGTATTTCAAGCTGGGCGGTGGTGGTGCACGCCTTTAATCCCAGCACTTGGGAGGCAGAGGCAGGCAGATTTCTGAGTTCGAGGCTAGCCTGGTCTACAGAGTGAGTTCCAGGACAGCCCGGGCTATACAGAGAAACCCTGTCTCAAAAAAACAAAAAAAAAAAGAAAAGAAAAGAAAAGAAAAATGTATTTCAGTATGTAAATGCTCTTGAACATAAAGGAACATAAAGATATAAAAACAACCAGATACAATATTAACTCATGATAAATACATTTGGATTTAAAAATACAATTTCCAGGGGGCCAGTGAGATGGCTCTGCAGGTCAGGGCCTTCTGGAAAAGCTGGGCATCAGGTCTGTGCCGGCCCATGACCCGCTAGAAAGGCAGCCGGAGGGGCCTGACTCCAGTTCTCTGACTTCCACCACGCACACTGTGACTCCTGTGCTCACACCCTCAAAAATGAGATCACTCTGTGCAAGTCCTAACAAATACAAATAGGAACTAACACTAGAAACAAAAACATCATTAAGATAAGCAGTAATAGAAACATACCAAAGTAAGGCCAGGCAGTAGTGAGTGGCTCATGCTTTTAATCCCAGCACTTGGGAGGCAGAGGTAGGCCGATCTCAAAGTTCAAGGCCAGCCCGGTCTGCAGGGTGAGATCCATGACAGACTGAGTAATCTTATCTCAAATAAAATAAAATAAAATAAAATAAAATAAAATAAAATAAAATAAAATAAAATAAAATAAAATAAAATAAAACAAAATAAAAATTTACCTGTCTTGCCAGGCAGTGGTGGCGCACGCCTTTAATCCCAGCACTTGGGAGGCAGAGGCAGGCGGATTTCTGAGTTCGAGGCCAGCCTGGTCTAC